CAAAATATTAATATGAGATATGAATAGGAAATAATTAATATTCAAGGAAGAAGATTAAAGAAAATAACTCACAACTTACAAATTCATTAAGCTTCAAAGTAGCAAAACCAAGATGGAAGAGTTTAGCTCCTCATTTGGAGACTAAACATGATGAAAATATAAAGAAAGAACTATTCTAGACTGAGCTTAGAGTATATGTGAATCGGTGATCTAATTGTGAAGGGAAAGGGGTGTATTTATAGGATTTTGTGAATGCAGTTCGGGTACCCGATCGGGTATATACATGGTACCCGACCAGGTATGTGTAAAACGTCAGATTCGAGGTATACTCGATCGAATTCGGGGTTAAAATCGAAGGCATACCCGATCGGGTGTGTCAGTGTACTCGATCGGGTATAGACACTCGATCGTGGTCAAAATCTTCCCTGCATGTTCCTTTGTCTTCGGATCCAATCCGATTTGAAATTTCAACAAGATACCCGATCAGGTATAGGTCATACCCGACCGGGTATAGACAAAAAATCATGATCTTCATTTTGTCTTGTGATTTTGCACTTTCCTTCCACTTTTGGGCTTCACCAACTGTCATTTGAGTGATCATAGACCTGTTTGAGCTCAGAATAAACCTAATCTAAATAATTTACAAGTATTTAACAAACTAAACTATTATACCAAAAGTGTGTAATTTCCAATGTAGAAATCAATCAAAGCTAAGTAAAAATACAAACATAAACATGAAAATTTCAAACGTATCAACCGGATGCCATTACATTGTTTGATATGCATGGGTAAGTAATTTAGTTAAACAATGCTTGATAGTGAATTATATGTTTAAATGAAAGTATTTATTCAAATAGAAGTGATATATATATATATATATATATATATATATATATATATATATATATATATATGTGTGTGTGTGTGTGTGTGTGTGTGTGTGTGTGTGTGTATGTATATATTAATGTGAAAATGTTATATATGCGAGAAAAGCTTCAGTTCATACAAAATATTGTTCAAGGATCGTTCAGAGGCCCATGGATTAGTTACAATAAAGTTCCTAAGCATGTTAAGAAAGAGTGGTTTGATGAATTTGCGGTAACTTATTACTAAGCAAAAGTTTAAAATACTTTTTTATTAAATATAGTGTAGTGATTATTTAATATGAAATGCAGCTGCGACACACTTTTCGCCAATGTGAAGCAATTGCGATAAAGAAGAAGTTCAATAGTCGCATCTCTAAATGATTGAAAGACTTGTTTTGTACTTGTCGAAAGAACAATGAGTGTCCGCAGTGGATATCTAAAGAGGATTGGGCAGTAATGCTTGGTGAATGGAATTCTGAGGCTTTTAAAAAAGTGTGAAACAAATAAAAAGAATGTCAATTCGGAGGCTTGTAGAAGTTCGCCATATTGTGGAGGTTCAATATCTGCTCCGGTTAGAGCAACCCGGCTAGTTAGTTAATACCCACTTTGGAGTATCATTTTTGTGTGTATGATTTATAATTATTATTTATTTCAATAGTTGACTAACATTTTTTTCCAAGAAACAAAGTTTAAGGAGGGACCCTGATGCAGAAGAAGTTTTACACGATATATAGCTACAACTTGAAGAAAACTGGGCAACTTAGTGGCCAATGAGTCCGTGATATAGCTGTAAGTATTGTGACTTCATATATTTATTTGGCAATATAATGTTAGAATAATATATCTGGACCACAATAAAATAGTAAGACTATTTCAAACCAGTCTCACTTGCATCTCTGTAGTGCTCTACTGCTGATTTCTTGATTTGTCATTTATTTGGCATTGTTATCTATGTTTGTATGTATAAATAGGCACTACACCTTTTGCCTTGTGTATATAGCGGAAATGACAGGAGATTTGGAGTTTTTTTAAAGAAATCTAAAGTAACAGATGATGGTTGTAGATTATTTGTAGATTATTTTGGCAATGATTTGATAATCCGCACTTCTGAGATTTGTCTATGAAGCAAAAATGCAAAATGGTTGAATTTTTTAATATGAGCCTTATGTTATTTTAAATGATTAAATTTTTTTAAATCTGTTGTAGTGATGATAAGTATTCAGCTTCAAATGTCGGTTATGCTTCTGAATATCAGTGATTGAAAAGGTTGTTTTTATCTGAGCGTAACCGTTATGATTTTTATATTTCACTCGTTGATTATTAATTGGTTTTGAGTTTTAACTATATTCTTCCTCTGTTTTAAAAAGATTCCCTTTTTTAAAATAATTTTCTTCCTGTGATGATTGTTTTATTCTTATTCTTCCAAATTGCTAATATATATGACAGGTTATATTTGATTGTGTACTTATTCAGTTATTCTATACATTATAATTAGGAAAAATTTAAGGCTGGGGCCGCAGAAATCACACAGACACATGGACCGGGCACAATAGTTGATAAGAATGCACTATTTTTTGAAAGTTGTGCAACCGAATTGGGGAAGGCTCATGGGAGTGGGCTCTCTTGCCCCACATTTGTTGAGCATTGGGTCTTTGAACCTGACACATTGTCGTTCTTCTGAGCAAGACCGCATTGATAAACTCACGGAGCAGGTGGAGAGTTGTCAAGCAGAAATGAAGCTATTGCGGGAACAAATAAAAATGCAAGGGAGTAATACAGGGACTTCATCTATGAACCCATTCCCAATGTTTACATATGGTCAGTCTTCTCCTGGAAATGGACAATAGATGCCTTACATGTTTGTCCAACAAGCACAAGTTACTTTTCCTCTACAAAGCCAATCTGTCTTTCCTACGCCTACAATGTTTCCAAATTATTTCATGGCGGATCAACCATCTATGCAACCTGCACCTGTCTCATTTGTCCCTCTTCACAACACAAATAATACTCTTTCCCAAGAAGACAATAGCACTTTTATAGATAATTTACTTGGTAGCGCAGGGTTTAATAATGAGGGTGAAGGACAACAATGAAGACTTGTAGTAATTGTTCATTATGTGCAATTTCTTTTAATGTCCTTGATATTTTGTTTGTTTTGGATTGTTTATGTAGGATGTTATACTTTTAAATTACTTGTTTTTATTAAGCTCTAATGCATACCATTATGAATTTTTTGGAATGAATACTTTTGTGAAAAGGAAGTTCAAGTATGATTTTGAATGATGTTGTAAATGGTATTATGCAAAAGTTGTTTGTGAATAGTATTCTGGAAAGGGTGTTGTTTGTAAATGATAGTATGATTTGGAAAATGTTTGAGGATAAGAAGGAGAATGATATAATGCCCACTCTAGGTGCATTTGTTGTTGGCTTGTTGCAAATTCAAAACTAGCAACATAATAAGCCGTGGGCAACAATGAAACAAATTTAATATGACCGGACTTTTTCCGACGGAAAAATCCGTCGGTAATATAATCATTTTTTTTTAAATCACCAACGGAAAAAACCGCTGGTAATTGAGAGGAACGTGTACTCGTTCAAAAACCCACGCATACCAATTTGCGAATGTCTGTTCCGTCGCTATCACCGACGGATATTTCCGTCTCTAATGCGTAGGTACTTTTTGAAATCCGTCGCTTGGGTCCGTCGTTGGGTTTACCAACCATGCTATTTCGGCGGAAATTATCCGCTGGAAAGCCGTCGGTGAATTTTGTACCGACGGTTAATTGAAGTTATACCGTTGCTATCTCCGTCGCTATTCCCTCTATTTTTTGTAGTGACCTCCCACTATTTTGTTTATATATAGAGAGAGGGTTAATGACTGATACTCCTTATATAGTTATATGATACAAATAAAATATGACTTTTTATCTTCCATGGTCGTAATAAAAAATTTAGTAGTCATATTATATACAATTCACATTGAAGCCGTCATCATGATATATTTATAATAATTATAAAAGTTACAATTTTACATTGTATATTCATGAGAAAATTAACACTTATGTGATCAAAACATTGTGTGTTTCCCAAAATATGACTTACATCTTTGTTTTCCTAAAAAGATAATATCATGCCCCATACAATCGAGTGTCTCCTTTTAATTATGTCATTCCATACATATTTAGTAATATATTGAGAAATAATCATCTATGGTCATATTTTAGGAATTGGCATGAGTTTTACTCATATATAGGTATTTTTCCCTATATTCATCGCAATTACATGTATTTTAAATAACAACAAAGTTCATCGTATAATTCTGCAAAGTTGCCGATTTTACATTGGATACTCCAAATAAAAAACGTACGCAAAACACTTATGAGTATAACTTTTATACGTAGTAACTTATAAGGATTAAGGAATATGATATTTGCAAGAAATACTTCATCATTTCCGGATACTTTTCCTATTCATTTAGTCAACATAAATCGCTCTTAATCTCTTGTTTAATATATCAAATTTTTATCAAATTTGATTCTAATTTTTACGACTTTCTAAAACTTTTAATATAGTTTCTGAATATGTAATTCTTTTTTTTTATAAAAATAATTTGAATGCGGACATGAATCTATTTGCTTTATCGATTATCAAATATCGCAAACCATAAAGTGTCTTATAATTTGAGACGGAGGGAGTAGAAATTAATTAATTAATTGTGTAAGGGAAAATTACAAGTGTATTAAGCAGGTATGCCTGGTTTGTTGTGGTAGTACATCAAGAATCATTTCTCCTCCTCCTTGCCGGAAAGGCGGAAACATCTCACCTCTTTGGCTCTAAATTAATCACGGCGTACAACAACTCTGTCCAATTAAAAAGTGAATATCCAATTATACCCTTATCCGACGCATTTCGTACTACCAATCTTTTGTCCTTCTCTGAGCTGGCCAGAAGCGAAGCCAAACGGCGTTTTTAATCTAACGGAGAGAAACAAACAGCTTCAAATACTCCGTAGAAAATAAACTCCGTTAAAACCGTAAATTTCTCTCTCCGGTACAAACAAAAGCGTGAGGCACCTGAAATCTGGCGCCACTGCAAAAAACCGTTCGTCTTATCCCCAACCCCGCGTGTCCTTTCGCGAATCATTCCGTATATAACTTCCTCTCTGCAAATACCTTTGCAGAACTTCTGACCTAGATTTGAATATGAAGATGGAATCGGAAATGGAGTCGGCGTTCAACGGCTGCGGATGTGTTTTGGCTCCGCCGTTGACCATGCCGGTGGACGACAAAGCCTATATCGACGGGATATACGGTGAGCAGATCAGCTTCCGGGATCTTTTGAGTTTGAGCCTCAACAGAGAAGAACAGAGGCCTCTGTTGCAGTTATCTCAGGCTAATGCTTCTCCTCCACTGATGCATTTGCCGGGAAATCAGCCCCTCCGATCATCCAATGCTTTCCCGGCACAGTCGGCTCTTAGTCGATTCGGAAGCGATGGTGTAGATTTGGAGCTGAAGTTGAAAGGTCCGCAACAGGACTTCGGTTCCAATGCATACGACAATAGAGGCGGCGCCATTTCCACGGGTAATGACTCAAATTTCTCTGCTCACTTTCCTGATCTCCGATCATTAGAAAATCAATCGGTTCCTGTGAATACCGATTTCGGATTCCGACCTCCGTCGTACATTCCCGAGAAAACCACCAGAAACTACCAGAATCCGACGAATCTCATTCATCCGCGCGAAAAACCAGCGTTAGTGAGGAAGAGGAATGAGAGTAGATCCAGCAAACTCGCCAGAGTGAAGAGGCAGAAGCAATGCGAGAAGATTCGGCAGCTAGAGAAGCTGATGCCGTGGGAGAAAAAGATGGAGAGGGCGAAGATGTTGGAGGAGGCGTACAAATACGTCAAGTTTCTCCAGGCGCAGGTTATGGTCCTCCAGAGCATGCCGGCTTATGGAGATGTTTCCTCACTTGGCAACTTTGGCCCCGGACCGCATAGCGTTCTCGGGCCAATCGCCGAGCTCAACCGGCAACGACTGTTGTTTGTGGCGGTGAACTCGCCGGCGGCTCAGAGGGCGCTTTATTCGAAAGGCTGCTGCATATGCTCGTCGGAACAGTTGGCTTTTCTTGCCGAGAGAATTGTGTCTGGTTGATCAGATTGCCTCCACCCGTACTCTGACTGCTGGATTGCCCCTTAATGATTGATTAACATCACTATTAAGGTGTAATTTATAATTTTTGTTATAATATATAGAATGACTGAATGTTGGAATGGAATTTCGTTACGATTAGTATATGAGAATACATGGCTAAAGAGGTGTTATGGAATTGAATATGGAGAAGTCTACGCAATTAATGAGAATTTTGTTTTTGTCCTCGAGTTTTGTTGATTCATCTGGTCTCCTGATCGAGGGACTCTATTTTACGTTTTTCCTTTTTTCGATAAATTCTCATTTTCGATTTTCCTCCATCATGTTTTGCAAAATTGATGTTAAGTATATGTATTTGCTGCAAATTTTGTTCGTCCTGTCGTGCACTTCCCTAGGGTTTATTCAAATTTACTGGTGCAATCCAGATATAGTTATGTATCACTGAAACACAATAGATCAAAACTTAAAAAGATCGGTTCAGACAAAACTTACACAGAATCAGACTAGAGCAGACCCGGACAATTATAAAATACACAGGAACCAAACATTTTCAAGATCATACCTAAACAGACCAGACCAAACTAGTTCAGAACAGACCAAACCAGAAACTAGACTAAACAGTAAATTTCAGTCCAAAAAAAATCCTAAGTATTAAAAATAAAATATGATACTAAACACATATGCAGTACTTTGTAGTTTTGTGTCATATACTACCTTTGTCCCAAAAAAATGTCATTTCAAAATATTAAACATGATTTTGATTAGTGTAATATTAGAAAGTTATAAATTTTATAATTTTGTGAAAGTACTTTTAACAAAGACAAAGAATATTTGCATATAACTTTTATATTATAAATAATTCTCAATAAAAGATATTGTTGGAACACTAGTCAATAAAGTGTATTGCATTTACACGTACACTAGTCAAATATATTTACAACATCGATAATATCAATAAATAAATATAGTCTGTTTGGTAAAATTGAAATCGGCTGAATCCACTGATTCTGATGGTATTTATGAAGTTCTGACTGGATTGACTGTATTGGCTGATTCTTTTGACTTATGAAAAATAATTAAAATATATTTTATTAATAAAATAATTAAAAAATTATATGGAAAAATAGTTAAAATGAATCTACAATAACTTCGGTCAATATAATAAGAAAAGTAACTTCGATCTTACTTTTTCTTATTGTTACCCAAGGCATCAAGCATATGGTGGGTATAGGTGAGTATAAAAGTGGGTAGTGGGTACATCAAGCATTGTTGAACATTTATCAAGTACTAAGTATATCCTTCTCACTTTTGAGAATTAAAACATGTGAGAGAAATACAAGAACTCCCATTATGGATTACTAATTAGGCAACTAATACAGTAATGTTAACTAACTATTTATTTATATTATACGGAGTATATAATAGCAGTTGGCAGTGTAATTAGTATTGTAGCAGAAGTAATTACTACTTTTACCCTGTGGAAAACTCAGATAATTTGTACACCAAAAAGCTTAAACCCGGACGGCACCTCTGCCTCCTTTTCAATTTCCACTTCTAACCCTTCTTTCTTCTCGTGGAAATTCTCATAAATGCCCTCCTTTGTCGTGTTTCCTTCAGAGGTGTTTTTGGGCTTTGAATTGTCCTTGTTGAATTCCACGTCCACGACACAAATGGTCCGTCTTCCTGACCCGTTTTCCTCCGGGCAGTCGTAGGCGGAGAAAACCACCATATCTCTCGCGCCAATTCCTTTATCTTTAACGAACCGGTTCCAACCCCGAGTGAACACAAAGCTCTGGCTGCTTTTCCAGTAACAATACCTGAACTTCCATGATCTCATCGATTTGTCGTAGAAGACGAGCTCCATGTCTTGATCGCCGGCGCAGGCGGCTTCTTCCTCGCTTTCTTGATTCTCCGTTGTAGTTGCCGTCGTGCGAGGAAAAAATTTGAGCGCGAATTTCTTCGGGATCACGAGCCGGTTCAACTTCCCAACGTCGCTCGGGGTCAGCTCTTTCTTGAAAAGCTCCCTCAAAACCGAACCCGGTTCGTTCCCTGCCCGGGGTGGGGCGGCTCCGGCAGTTTGGGGCCCGGCCGGAGCGGTTTGTTGCTTGCAGTATTCCGAGAATTTCGGGACGTAGGATCCGTCTTTGATCATCTTGAGGATTTCTTCTGTGGAGAATTGATTTTGGAAATTGGGTTCGTGGAGGGTGAGGCTGGTCCACGCGAAGTTCCGGTGGGCGTCGCCGCTGCGGAGGCGGATGGCGGCGCTGTCGTAGGCCGCCGCGGCGTCCTCCTCTGTCTTGAAAGTTCCGAGCCAAATCCTCTGATGGTTGGCGTAAATCTGAGCCCCCCAGTTTCCGCTCTGCTGGCCGACGACTCCCTTGAACCTTGACGAAGTTATGTTGCCGGCGGCGTTTGGGTCCGCCCTCGGCCGCTTGTGGCGGTGGCTTTGTTGGCTGGTGGAGCTGAGGGAATCAGAGGGTTCTGATGTCAAGTTCGTAGTGCCGCTAGCAATTATCTCCTCCATGGTCAAATCTTGGGCTGACGAATGGCATCATCATCAGGAATTACAGTGATTTGAGAATCAAGAAGTGTACAAAAGATCATGAATGTACAAACTTTCACATACTTTCAGTCCCCATCCAAGAACATATTTTCTTTAGACAGGGCTTAGGCTAAACTAGAAAAATAAGGATATGTACATATTTTGTGTACATTTTTAGGGGTTGTCGCTATTACACTAACAAATTAACAATGTGTAACATTTTTAGGTGGTGTCACTAAAAAATATCACATGAGAAATATAGGGGAGATTTGATTTACACACCATTTTTAGGTGGTACGTAACGTTTGATTTTCATCACATTTTAAAAATCATTAATGTGTGTATCGTATTTTAGTATTAAATCGATTAAAGCTACACAACATTCCTTCATAATTTTTGAGATGATGATATGGATACATTAATGATTTTGAAAATATTATATAAAATTACTCTAGTGTCACAAAGTTTAATGTCGCACCAAAATTGATTGCAAATGGCAAAGTCAAACTCCCCCAAAATTTATCTCAGGTTCTATTTTTTGTATGTCACTACAAAAATTTACAAGATTGACACAGATTTTACACCAAGTTCTTGATGATTTCGTGCAAAATAACTCCATCCAATGTGTTTTGACATGAATTTGGCATATTTCAGTCAAATCCCGTATTTATTTTGTAACGTTTATTTTTTAAGTATCTATAAGATCTATGTCGTAAAAAAAACTTTGAAGTTTATTTCTGTAAAATAGTCTTCAATATGATAAGTTCAAGGACTAATAACATACACATGCATAAGTTACGGTATTAGATAAATAAATTTCTCACAATGAATTTGACAAACATGGAAAATTTGCTTACTTAGCCCTATATCACTTTGTTTGTGCATGTTGTTAGTTATGTAACTTCACTTTACTTACCTTCCAATCATATTTTATACTACATCCATTCCACTAATATTAGAACATGAGGAGTTTGTGCGATTATTAAGAAAAATAAATTTATGTGATTAATATCAAATTCATAAAATAAAAATGATTTAGAATTACAAACTTTACCAAATTTGGGATGAGATAGTCTTAGTAGATGAATCTTATGAAAAATAAACGTTTTCTATCCGAATGACTTTAAGATTAAACCTCATATCTTTGAAGATAATAAAAGTTACAAGACACACGTCCATAAATTTTATAATTCGATCAAACAAGTCCATATTAAAGGGATCTTTATTCAGAAACATGAACACTCCCTAAGTCAAGCAATGAACCATTTGAGGTTTTACCCAGAAAATAGTGTAGAAATATTATATGAGTTGTGTACAGAATATTCTCAATGTCAATGTAGGTTTTAGTTGGAAGTGCCAATCTAATATGAATATATGATAGTTCATATGGTGTCTACAACATGCTTATTACTTATATTATGATTATGGCATATTGAACTACAAAGAACAACATGTTTTCAAACAAATTTGTATTTTGTATTAAAACATTGAAAAGAATTCATATCATGCATTTAAAAGGTAACATACACTACGTAACACTCCATCCGTTTCTCAAACAACTTCCCACTTTCCTTTTCGGAAAGTCCCGAAATTAACTTGACACTTCTTCCTATTTCCTTATTTGACAAATTATCTACACCAAAACAGTGCAAAACAGTGCCAAACAGTGTCTAAAAAGTGTCAAACAGTGTCTAAACAGTGTCAAACAGTGCACTACACAGTAAAGTCAAATTTAATTTCTTAAACTGTATGAAGTCAAAGTGTGAAGGTCTTTGAGAACAGTAGGGAGTATATGTAAAGGGATGAAAGAGCATTGTTGTAGTACCTGGGAAACCTAGTCGAATCTTCATATTCATCATAATGTTGATAAAAAATTCAAGTAGTTTTTCATATAATGGAAGACCAACAAGATAACATTAATCAACTTTCCTTTGGTTAAGTAGTAATCAAATCATTCAATCTTCTGAAAATTTGGCACTTCGTAATTGATGCTTTTTTCCTTTTGGAAGTTTACTGTTGTATTAAATCATCCACTTCTAAGGAAATAAAATCCTTTCGTAATTATTATCATATCCTAACATACCAAAAATGCTACCACACTAAAGCTTCAACTTCTTTCTGGTAAAAGATTGTGTATGTTTTATACATATTTTTTGTACCTAAAATATAAATTTCCTAAAGTTACGCAGTAAGCTAGTAATCCTTACAGAGTTATTTTTAGAAGAAAATAAAAATAATTACATATTTATAACTAAAATAAAGATTTTTTACGAAAATATGACTAGTGACTATGTAGTAATGGAATAATAGTAACTTATGTTCAAGTTTTAAACGTAAGTTACCATTATTACACTAAATTGTAGTAACTACTACTAGTCATATTTGTGTAAATAATTTTTATTATAGTAATAATTTTGAAAAAATCCCTAAACAAAAGAGAATATTGTACGTTGCTACAGGAAAACATTTTAGTCCATAAATTAATTTAATAGGGAGTAATTCTTCTAATAATGCAACAATACTGATTAGTTACTCATACCATGCATGGAGTGTCTGTCACTACTAACTTATTATAATTATAAATTTATAATATCATAATCACAAATCATATGCAAGTTAGGAAGTACTTCGTATAAATTAAAATAATGAGAGGTTACATTGTACACTACGGTGACTCAATCGGTCCTAAAGATGTTACGCCTTATTCATGCGCATTAGAAGCCCAGCCTAACATATATACAGAAGTTGTGACCTTTATACACTCGTTACGAGTTTCGATCTTTGGTCATTAATAGCTACGAACCCGTGTGGGTGAGTATTTGTTTATTTGATGAGAAAAAAGGCCACTAAGAGATGATTCCATAAAGGCATGAAACATGATGTAGTGTTGACGTGAGTACCTGGGAAACCAAGTTGAAGCTTCGTGTGCATTGTGCATGGACCAGGCACTGATATTATTGTCTATACAAATAATATAAAAGCTTCCAAGATTTCATATGATGAGAGGCTAGCTGCTGATATAACTATAAATAACTTCTTTTATCGATGGAGTAATAATAATTATATAGGAGTAATTCTATAGCATGTTTACATAAAATAAATAATTCCTATCTTTAGTAAGTAAACAATTATATAGATTTTTCATAGGTAACTTTTATTGTTTCCATCTTTATCAAGTAATGATTTCATAATTAGTTCTTTCGTGCTGGTATAGTTGAGGAATGGCATTCAATTCAAGGAAACAAAATATCCTCCATATTTACATAGCATATACAATCATACGAACATACCAAAAATAATATTGTCACTAGACAAATACCAGTAGAATAGTGTAAATTACATGTCATGACAAAATTCGTGACAATTGCAGATAGGGCAATTTTTTCATAAAATTTTGTAATTAAATGCACGATTTCAAAGCTTATAATTCTTCTCCAGTATAATTCTGGATTCATATTGATGTTCTTCTTGTGGACAATTATACAAAATAATCTCTTCAAATCACCTCTACTCATCATCCATAATCCTCAAAGTAATCTACCACTTCATCTCCTCTATCCTATTACAATTCTATATATAGGTGTGGATCCCTAATCAATTGATATAATGATATTGTAATCATAGTTTTATTGTTAATTTCTTATGCATTTGAAAGTGATCAAATTATATTGATCGGTAAGTGCAATGGATAAGATGTTACTAAGTTAATAATGGGATATAGGATGTTTTTACTTGGACTGTAATTCCTCCCAGACCAGATCAGACCAGACCAGTTCAGATCAGACCAGACTTGGATAGTTATAAAAATACAAAGGAAATCAGACCAGACCATACCAATTCAGACCAAACCAGACCAGACCAGCAAATTACAGTCCAGCAAATTACAGTCCAAATAAAAACATTCATAGTGTGTAACAAAAAGGGGGTCTAAAAACAAAAGGTTGAATCGTAAACCAATAAGTTTTTTTTAGACCTTCAAAATTTTCTAATGTAATAACTCTTATATATATATATTTAGGTTCAAGTGAGAAAACCATCTTAGGAGAGAAAAAAAGAATAAATCACAACCTTTAGATCATCAATTTTTTTCAATGGAACGTGTATACACTTATAGGGTGCTTTGGTCTTTTTACGAATATTTCTATATTTAATACTCCGTATCAATCACTGCATGCAATTAATGCCACATCTTTATAATTAGTTAATTGACTTACGTGTGAGTGTGTTTTTGTATTGATATCTTTTTTCTTTTGATAAGATTTATCATATTACTTTTAATTAATCTTTATTTAATTTATTTTTCTATTTTCTATTTGATTGTATTTTAATTTTCCACCATCGGCTATCTTTAGTTTTTTAGTATATTCTTCTATGCACCTTGATAACGTGTGTGTATGTCGATTGTATTGTGTTTTATTTTGCCAAAAAATGTATTGTATTTTATTCATAATCATGATCATTTACACGAAACTTTTAAATTTACTTATTGTTTTTGAATTAGGATTCTTAGATATTTTTGTTGCATTGTGTTGAAGTATGATGCTTCTTTTTTATATACTGAATTTTTAGTGCATAATAGGGACGTACATATATATTCACTCTCAAAGTAGAAGTAATGCACTTTATTTCAGAAAGTTTAATATAATAACACACTTTTGAATATATTTAAGATGCACGTGATAAAAGTGCATTTCATTTTACATAAGAGTGCTAAAGTAATTCTGAAAGTACGATGTAATAATAGTGCACATTTATATATATTTAAAGTGCTCTTGTTAGTTGATAGTTTGCACTCTTATATATTGATATTAATTTTTGTTTAAAGCATATGAGTGTGCATAACTCTTATATATGAGTGTGCACAACTCTTATAGGCAGTAGTTTATGAATAAAGTGCAACATAATGTGTACACGGTGCAAACTAATGACATACAAGTATCAATATAGAATTTTATAAAGTGTCACTAATAATGCACTTTTGCATATATTTAAATGCACATTATAGTAGATAAATTGCAGCATATATCCATGTATATTTATATAAATTTTTGTTTAATTTTTATTTTTATGTTAAATCTATGAAAGTACACAAATTAATGTGAAGGTTAAGTACAGGCTAAAACTATTATGAAAGAGAACTTAATAATATGATTCAAATCAGTTAAAATTGATCCTACTTCTTCACTGCATTAGTTTAGAAACAGTGAGTGCAACCTTCACCACTCGGAAGTGCAAATTTATATAATTAATTGTGCATCGATCCATGCAATCGACAAATTTCATACTTCGTATAATATTTTGATTGCATCTATTTA